AATAACATATAGGAGTAGTAAAGCACTGACACGAACGATGGGTAGCACAGCAAATATCGATGAGTACTGCCCGCAGTTTCTTAAGATTCCGAAGTGTTGAACAACAATAATAGATGATTGCCTGAATTCATAGGCGACAGCGATTTCGTCAAATTGTAAGGCGGTTGCCCAAGTAGTGGCGAGTAAGTGATTCGCCACACATTTTTATATATGTAGATAAAAACGAAGATATTAAATAAGAGTATGAACTGTGTGTGCGCAGGAGTGTGTCAGTGCCGGCCCGGCTGGCGCGGCGCCCAGTGCGGCGAGGCGTGCGGGCCCGGCTGGTGGGGCATCAACTGCTCGCAGCCGTGCCGGTGCGCGCACGGCGCCGCGTGCCGCCCCATCGACGGCTACTGCCGCTGCCCGCCCGGATACACCGGCAACTACTGCACCCAGTGTGAGTGACGGTTCCGGTGGTATAAATGCGGAAAGGTTGAGATACCTTCATAACGTATAATTTTCATTACGTATCTTGTATATTTACTTAGAATGTATTGTCGAGTAGGGCTGTCTAAATTATATACCTTTGCGGGGTAATTAAATTTACAAAAATAGTTACTACAAAAGCTGGAGGGCCGCATAAAAAAAAGAGTAAAAAAAACTTCCTGGGAAATTCCCCCAATAATAATAACAGATAGATTTACTATTAAATGATGTCATGGGAATTCCCCCAATAATAATAAAATATAGATTAACGATTAAATGTCATGGGAATGGAATAAGATTAAAGATAAATTATACCAAATATTGATTATATGTTTTTAAGTATATAAGTATATCAGAGGAAGTGTGAAAGTAGTTTCGGTAATTAACAAATTAAAGTGCGGACGGACGGTTATCGTGGTATGGACATGTGATGTGTAGAGAGAAGATGCATGTGACTAGGAGATGTATGGAAATGGTCGTGCAAGGTAGAGGGGGAAGAGGTTGACCGAAGAAGAAATGGATGGAGTGTGTGAATGATGATATGAGAGAGAGTGAGAGAGAGAGAGAGAGAAGTGAGTGTTGAGATAACGGCTGATAGAAGGGAATAGAGGAATTCGCTGTGTCGACCCCACCTAGAAGGTGGAGAAAAAGAAGATTGATTATATGTTTTTGGACAGCCCTGTTGTAGAGCATCCTAACCTGCGTATTGTTACGGGAATTGTTCGGGATAAATAAAAATTCTACCGAATTACAACTAAAAATGTACTCGACACTTAGAACACTTAAAATACTCAACAACCACATTAAAATTCTCAATTCGCTTCAGGTGACCGTTCGCTGTTTCGCTTCGAGTAGTTCCGATTACTGACTGCCCGCGTGCCATCTTTATAACGCTTTTATAGCCGATACCTTATCCCTATAATTATCGAGAATATTCCACACATCTCTAGTAGTAGTTTCCGCTATCTGACAATAGATGGCGTTGTACTTTTCGATCGTTCTAGGTGCTAGTAAATCCTTCGATATTCGTTGGACTATTCGGCGATAGATGGCGTTATTCTTATCGGCGTAACAGTATCAATCGTTAGTTTCTAATTTGGCTTGCAGTCTGCCCGGAGGGGTACTTCGGCGACCACTGCATGGAGGCGTGCAACTGTCCGTCGGCCGGGAACTGGGTGTGCGACCCGGTGCGGGGCTGCGTGTGTCAGCGCGGCTTCATCGGCGAAGGCTGCGACCAGCACGCCAGCGAGGCCGTCGTCATAGGAGAAGCTAAAGGCGAGTATTCGAACTAATTTACGTATTGATTTTTTGAAGAAAACAAAGAGGGAAAATATTCGATGACATCCATTAGCTGCTTCGAGTGCGGTACTTTTTTTTATTGCTTAGGTAGGTGGACGAGCTCACAGCCCACTTAGTGTTAAGTGGTTACTGGAGCCGTTACGTTGTTACGTAACTCAAATGATCGGGATATGTGAAGCACTGGTGGTAGGACGCACGGGTAGGTACCATCACCCTGCCTATTTCTGCCGTGAAGCAGTAATGGGTTTCGTTTTGAAGGGCGGGGCAGATGTTGTAACTATACTTGAGACCTTAGAACTTATATCTCAAGGTGGGTGGCGCGTTTACGTCGTAAATGTCTATGGGCTCTAGTAACCGCTTAACACTAGATGGGGTTGTGAGCTCGTCTACCCATGTAAGCAATGAGAAAAAAAAAGGATCTGTCACCGGATTGGAAACGCGACCCACTGAGAAGATCCGGCGAGAAACTCAGTGAGCTAAATGTCTAATAATGTTTTAAATTTGTATCCGCAGCAGGATCGAACAGCGGTCTGATAGCGGTCGTGATCATATTGGCACTGCTTTGCGCCGCCGCCATCGTCCTCGTGTTGCTGTACTACCGCAACCGAGTCAAGAACCTGAAGCGCGAGATCGCGCACGTCGTGTACACGGCGGACCCGCACTCGCAGCCAGGTGGGTACATGCGACCCCTTCGCGTGGTCAAACTCACCCGGGCGGACTCACTGGTGGTGGGGCGTGTGGTCAGATGTATATAATAATCTAAAGAAAATCACAATCAAAAACGGATGAAGTAAAATAAATACCAAAAGAAGAATCAGAAAATATCGCTCTTTAGGGCACGTTGCAATGGACATACTACTACAGATATAACTCAATGAGGGTTGACGTCAAGCAGACTGCCACCAGTGCTAAAACTCACTAAATTTCTATTCAACATGTCCATGCAACGACAAGAAAAATAAAGAGGATATTGTGAAATACCAGGTTAGATAGGCACCGTCTTGTGTATTGCTACCACAGAGCAATCATCGACTTCAACCTCGTATCTCAGAGGAATGGTGCTCACGTGGCGACATCATGGCGCCTTTGTGGTCTGCCCGTCCACTGGTATGGTACTACTACTACTGTACTGGATACACTATTCATAAGAAACTATAGTGAAAATGTTTTACAAGTTTAAACCAATACATTCACATGAAGCACGGGGCTCGGTCCCTAGACCTGCTTAGATACAAGAATAATATAAACTGGTTATTCTTTTTCTTTTTTTAAGGGATTTTATGACCTGTTAACTGAAACCTTAAGGTCAAGTCTTATTTTAATTTATATTCTTATTTTTGTGAAAATTGATAATATGGAGTGAAATGAAATGAAACGAAATGAAGATGACTAATTGATACATTAATCAACTGAGATGAAATTAAATAAAATGAGACGAGATGATATGGGATGAAATACAATCTCAGTAAAATGGCGGTCATTTATTGAGATTTTTTCTGAGGACATTTTGGAGGATCCCGAGAAGTTAGGTCCAGCGGCTTTGTTTCATTTTCCCACATTTGTGCACTTTCACAGATACTAAACAGTTAATAAACCACCGTTATTACACATTTAAACCCGAAGAAACATTAAATAGACAAAATAAAACAAATCACATAACTTCACTCTTCGCGTTCCCGCCAAAAAATCACCAACTGGTTATTCTAGTATTGTTTAAGCTATATGTGATATCTTTTTTCAACAGAACAACAACATTTCGATAACCCGGTATACTCGTACCAAGGGTCGACTAGGAGCGACGACTCGGCGAGCTTGCTGAACAACGCGACTCACATTGTGAACAACCTGGGCACCGGGACTAAACTATCCAACACGACCATAGAGAAGCTGAGAATGAAGGCAACAGCGTCGAACGATGGTTAGTTATTTCATAATAGTTATTAGATAGGTTAGGAATTTATTTCTTAGTTCCAAGCCGGTTTCGGCCACGGCGACCAAAATTTTCTGTTTAGTAACTTAAAACCTAATGTCCGCGCCTCTTATGCGCTCTAATATGGCTATGATAGCCTATCTTAATATTAAACGTGCGCAAAAAAAAGCTACACGTAAGAACCCCACCCACAAATTTGTAAAAAATGGTGGAAGGCGGTCTATTTTTCAGTGATGGTGTTTTTTTTCGGATAGGAGAAAAGTTTTATTCCCAATTTTTTTACATCTCTGTTTTTATTTATTAACATCATTTTAGGAAATTGGTATGTACGTATGTTTGTTTGTATGTCATGGAATTTTTAATTGTCGTTTTTACCAACTTCAAGTCGTCTGATTAACTTGAAAATTTGTACACGCATTAAGAACCGATGTCAGTATAATAGTATTATATCTTCCCTCTAATATCTTGATTATTATCAACAAAATAAACAAGATGAAATTAATTATGTGGCGTTAGCTATCATACAACAAAAGACAGATGCCTGAATTTCGCTTACGACATTTTCAAGATAAGCTTGCATATATACAAGTTACGAGCAACAACGTTCGGACCCTCGGTCTAGCAATATCAACAGTTCGGTTGAAGATCTTTCCTCCGTCGTTAAACCTCCACAATGATTACTTCGGTTTGCTATTTGAGCAAGTATTTTTTGTTTGTTTTTAAACTACATGTATTATTTTGGGATTTTATTTTTAGCGTATGACCCCATGTCTTCTATAAAAAACAAAGATGCCGATGCCAATAACCCCAACCTGTATCAGTACGTTGAAGACAACAAATTGGATCATGTTTATGATGAAATCAAACACAAAGAAGGATATGGTGAGCACTTTTTTGAAATATTTGATAAAAATACGTTTTTTTTTCTTATTAATGTTTTGCTTTAACAAGACGAAAATACAGGGCATAAGTTGATTGTTCTCGACATGAAAAAAAATTTGTCTTTTGTAAAGTACTAACGTAGAAAAAAAAGGTTTTCATACAGAATGGAAAGGGCGTATATAAAAGTGTGCTCCGGTTTGTGAGGTCCGGCGGCCGTTATACCGCAACTGAGACCTCAATTATGTGTCCCAACGGGGGCAGTTCACATTTAAATGTCTATGGGCCGATTAACAGTTGAGCCTATCTTGGCTATAAAAAGAAAAGCATAAACGCTTGTTTTTTTTTTGTTAGCACGTCAAAGCTGGGAGATATCAAGCATATTCATTATAGAAAACAATTGTTTATAACTAAACGTCTTTAATCTTAGAAATCGAATACGATCATCTCAACTACACGCCGCCGGCCAACAAATGGAAGCCTCACTACCACCGGATGCCGAATGGATTGACCGCGTCCAACGCGCAGTCCTCGGCGTCGTCCAGTTCTAACGGCGACGCCGCGACGCCGCCCATCCCGCCCCTGCCGCGCCGCGCCACCACCCCGCCCCCCAACCCGCCCGCCGCCCCGCTCGCCGCCCCACAGAATCTCAGCGACGACGAAACATCAACACCGTGATGTGCTCAGAACTCGATAGTAAATAACCCGGAATATAACGAAGCGAAAAGATCGAATATCCATTTTTTCAATTTATCAATAGAGCGCTTTTATTTTAACTCTTTACTCATTAGACTTTTTTTTTTTGCTTGTAAGCACATAATGTTCTACCCTATAGTAAGTACCACTGAATTAAAATAGAAGTTCAATTTAAAAAAAAACACCACGAAAAAGCTAATGAAAAAATTTAGGAAAAAGATCCGCTAAGTAATTTTCTAATTCTCATAAGTAACGTTAATTATCGAAGATTAGACTTAAGTGGTTCCAATGCCTAAAATCAATATGTTTTAATTCTACATGAAACGAATATTGTAGTAGGCAGCTGCTCGGCCGTCACCCTAGCTTATGATTACTGCCATCAAGCCATGAGCACATTCGCCTTCTATACCAAAAAAAGTCATTTAAAAACAATTATCCGACTTTAAGGCTCTGATGACATCATACATTTATGAAGTATGGTGGACTGTCGACTGATTTTAGGTAAATTATAATTGAAATTTTTGAATTTTGATAGAAAATCGTCTTCACAGAAACGAATAAACGTTGTTTTAAAATAAAACTGGATATTCGAACTTTAATGTCGAGATATTTTGATCATGTAATTAACACTTTACTATGTATTTTAGTTACAGTATTGGTTATGAAATATTTGTACAGAGAACAGGATGTAAGAAAATGAGACGCGTAAGGAAAACTACGTATTTTAGATCTAATTATTTTTTAATTTAATCATATTGGAGCTTTACTTTTATATAAAGGCAGCGAAATATTATATTTTTCTTAAATTACAATTTTACTTTTCGTTACATACTTTTGGAACGTTCAGATATATGCATAAATTAAATAGGGATTGTTCTTATATAACAAAACTGTTAATTTAGTTATAGGCTTTACAAATTTTAATCTCTTATTTTTGGATAAGATGTCCTTAATAACATCAAGTTGTAGTGAAATTTTTAATTTTGATATTTAATATATTTTATTAAAAGAAATTACGATTAATTTGTATCCAAAAAAGAATTTATCACTATTTTTATTCATTAAAAATATAATCTCTGAATCTTATTTTTGTTAACTTTATTTTTGTGAACAGTTCGCTTTCTTATGAAATTAAAAAACTAAAGTTATGGCAGTTATTTATGATTGATGTTGTTTGGTAAAAAAAAAAACTATGGTTGTAAAATTAAGAAAAACACTAGTAAATACATATCGATAGAACTGTTATATATAAATGTATTTTTTTTACAAAAACTTTAAGTGTTCTAGTATTACAATATAATATTTTTCGAAATTTTCAATGTTTGAGTACTAAACTATCGTAGGATAAGATTAAGATTTATAATTTACGTATTTTTAAGAGTTCTCATGTGCTCGTGATATGACACCGATGAATATATTTACTTCGAATGAACGTTTTCATAATTCTAACTCAATAATGCAGTTAAAAAACAAACAAAATATTTTCTAGTTGTTTTAAGACAATTTGTATTTAAAAAAATGTATTTAGACTTAGTAAGATGTACATTTATTTATATGCCAACACTAGATCATTTTTCGGAAACCACCATTCCTTTCACTGTTTTTTATGAGTTATATTGATACCTGAATTTTCTAATATATCGATGTACATGTTTTTTTTTCATTAATATTGTGTTGACAGTTTTAATTTTTTTAAATATGTTATTAATTTTATAAAAACTTTAAAACTATACAAACCTATATAAATTTATTATGTTACGCATTTTATCAGCTGTAATGTTGTGCATGTTATTACGTGAGTAATTAAGTTCAGAATTATATTAACATGATGAAATGAAGTATTTATAGTATAAATATAATAAAATAAAATAGTAAAAAAAAATTGATAAAAGGACTCAAATTAAAGTGTTCGAAACTTTGCTCAATAAGTGTCAATTGAAAGCAATGGAGAGCTTTAATAGATTTCTCAAAAATATTAAACTAAATTTTATATCTATTAGGGTGTAATGAAAGAAACTTAATTCTAAAAAAAATCTGTTACTATTTATCGCAATGAATAAAAAGAAAAAGATATTTATGATGATTTCTTTAATGAATTAAAATGAAACTAATTCGCTTATGTTTCATTCACTTGTGTTTCATGTTTTCAAAGCAGTTTTATTAATCAACTTTTTTATCGATAAGGTTGAATGTGATATTATAATTTATATTATTATGTAAAAAATAAATGATTTCACTTATTTCACTATTTTTTATTCTATAACTTTACTCGCATTCTCATATATGTACGCATTAACATTTAAATGTTAACAAATATTGAGACAAGTGTTCGGATTTAATTTGGATAATGGACTTACAGATGGCAAATATGTGCACAGAACTTACGGAAACTAATGAGTATCCGTTCGTTACTGACAAGTCTGCAAGATTTTGCGACTAAATGTAGTGTAGCAGTGTAGTGAGTGCATCATGAAGAAAACATTTATTTTGTTTATTGCTTTGATAATTCATGTAAGTTAATAATGTTTACACAGTGCAATTCATTGTTTCATAAGCAAAATGTAAATCGTGAAAATATTTTATAGTTATCACGACATTTTTCAGACCAGTGCCGTGTTTTTTGGTGAATTTCAAGGACCTACGCGTTCAGTAAATAAGAATTTTGGTAAGCTGATGAATGATGTTGTGTCAGACGCCAGACAAACAATAGATTGCACCGTAGAAGCTATGAAAAATGAAGTGGACTCTGGAAATTTACCCTACTTTTATAAACCTAAATGTGGTAATCAAAATGTTAAGCCACTTAATAATAAGAATCTTGACAGAAAAAGTAGGGCGACATTTAAGGACACCGAGAATCCTAGACGACACCAAAAAATCGTTGATGGAACGATCTTTAAAAACACCGGAAAAAACAAGAATAAGAAGATAAACGACATAAAGAATTTGTTATTGAATGAATCACGACGCTTGAATAATGTTGATAAATTTGTGAAAGAAGACCTTGACGGCATATCCAAGGACGCACGTGTACAATTGGAAAAAATAGAACATAATGACGTTAAGGATGCTCTCGCTCTACAAAAGCCTAAAGTGGATTCCGTGAAGAATTCTTCTTCAGAAATAAAATCAAAAATTTCAGCTCAGTCTAAAAATATTAAGTTTGCCAACGACGGCAATTCTTCCGATACAAGCGAAATTGATGATATTGTGGCAAAGTTCCAAACCGAAACAAACAATACGCTTAAGGAAATAGAAAAACAACTCCAAGATTGGGAAAAAGAAGAATCGGAACAGTTGCAAGAGTTAAAAACACTCATGGAAAGTGCCAAACATCCTGTTACTCTTAAAGATCTAGCTCAGAATATTACCGCGAATAGTTTATCGGAAAATAGTACATTACCGTTCGATACAATAAACTCATCAATAACACCTTCAACCATCGTTACTGCATTAAGTGAAATTCAAAGCGGAAAAAACTTGAGTACTATTGACATACCAAGTAAATCTTCCAAAGGCTTACAAAGAACTACAATAGCACTAGCATCGTCTACTGAACATTTTACAACAACTGCAATTCCGACTTCGAATATAATAAGTACATTAACGACATTTAAGGTTGCGACTACCACAGAACGAACACTAACTAAAGCGGACGATAGTCTAAATGATTATGGTGGATTTTTCGATTTCTCTCCTAACGACAAGCATGCAAGAGATGAAGCGGCCAGTAGCGCAGAAAAAATAATCAAAGAGGGAAGTTTTTCCAAATCACTGTTTAATGCTCTATCTAATAAGGTAGAGAATGCGGCCTCCTTATTTTGATAATCATACGTACTTAAAAATAACAAATAATTAAAAAAAGTAGTATATATCGTTAATTTTAAAAAAAATATATTTAAGGACTCTTTGTTCAAATTGTTGTAAAAAAAACACAGATTTTCCAGCTATTCAAGAATACTAATATTGTCTCTAAGATCGAATTGTGCCATAATGAATAATAACCGGCAAAGTCAAGATTTTTGAATTTCCAAAATTTAAAAAAACTTAGGTACATATTTGGAAAATAGTTTAATAAATACAATAAAGTTCGTCAATCTTTTTCCTAGCCTCTAAATAATTTAAAAAAAGCCGCTGTCTGGCTTTGTTGCTTTGCTTATTTTTTTTAAACCTGAGAACTGATTTTGAAACTTTTTTTATTAGTTGAAAGAGAAGAAAAAGATTTTGAAGAAAATGGCTGAATTATCATGAGGCTGTGTGAAAAAAAAACTGTTTTCGTTTCAAATTTTACAAATTTTAAGAGAAAGTATTCAAACCAAGCAAAGATGCGAACGGATAGCTTGCTATTGAAAAAATATTTAATCGGTTGACAATAGTAGTAGAAAATGGTACATATCTGATTTCATCACTACTGATGGTAGGGACATCTTGTGAGCCCGCACGGGCAGGTACTACCACCCCGTCTATTTCGGCCGTGAAGGAATCATGCGTTTCGATTTGAAGAGGGGTAGCCGTTGTACTATAAACATGAGACTTATTTTTCATAGTGGTGGTAGAATTTACGTTATTGATGTCTATGGACTCCGGTAACCACTTAACTCTAAGTGGGCCGAGAGCTTCTCCACCCAATTGCAATAAAAAAATGAATGAATTGCCCGATTTCGTCAAAATAATAAGAGTTCTATGAAGCGCAAGCAAGGTTACAATATCTAATCCTATCTACTCCACGTTCGGAAGCTATGGTAAATAAGATAAATATTACATTATACATATGTACAAGTCAGGAAGGAAAGTAATGTGATAAAAGTGCAGACAGTATGTTGCGTTATTCGTTCTTATTAAAATAATGGGATAATTAATTAAAACACAATTAAATCTATGTATATGTAACGGTTTTATTAACAATATTTTATGTAAATACATAATTACAAACTTACACGTCTACCAATTGAGCTTCGCTACTCTAAGACGAGTCAATGCGCTCTGCCACTTATGTTTCTCACCGTAGAATTCAATTTTGCTTAACTATGCACCGATACTTACTATTTTTTTTTGCATATTATACTAGTACCTACCTTAGAATCTTCAACAGTTTAGAATACTAGTCTTATACTAGTAGATATATCTACACACCAAAGTTGTTCACTGGTGTGTCCCTTATAATATTATTTAAGGTGTATCTCTTAACATATTTAAACTCAATTTTTATCCAGCCCTTTAAATTTTGTTTTAATTTCTGTACAATAAATACATTTTATAAAAGTGTTAAGAGGTTTCATTTAGAGTTATTTTTATTTTCAATTCCAGTCCGAATCAGGCACAATAAGTGTCGTTGAAGATGCCTTTAAAAGTATTAAGATTATTAGTTTTCTTAATAAATTTATATTTGACTTAAATTTTGTCTTCGCTTTCCCAAAAAGTATTTGCTCTTGCTAATTTCAAATATTTTGATGTTGAAATATGTTTATGTAACGTATTTAATAGGTTAATATTGAGCAACAGTCGAGTTTGAAGTAATTTTAAGACAACGGAAACAGAAATAATCAGAATATTATTTACGAAGACATTAATTAAACAACTCTTAAAATTTTTCTGTCTATCGTCTAATTTTACTTTTATTTTGGCACGCAAAAGATTAGCAACTAGAAAAAATTCGTTAATATTGTTTTTGGAGCATGAAATTATTTGATTATGTATTTTACGAATTCAACTAATTATTGCTTAATATTCAATTGTTATTTAAAAAAAAAACAGATTACATTATATTCGATGACGACAAAATAGATTATTCCATACTTATTTAAATAACTTTAGGAAAGGACCATCACAAGTTTTACACGTCAGCTGTTTGTGGAGAATCCGCAAGTAAACACAAGAAGACGTTTCACGAAAGACGTAGGCGATACGATTTGCTACCAGAGCAACTTAATATCATAATCCTGTTATTGGAATGTTAAATGTTACCTTAAAAAAAATCGTATGTCGTGAAACTATGGTATGAATTCGAACGTCTTGTACCTTGTACATATGACGAGGTGATCCGGAGGCGACAAAGTGTAGTCGGTTATATTACGTAACTATTGTTATTTTAATTAATTTAATAATTATATTAGAGTATTCTGTGCTAATATTATTGCCTGTACGTATTCAAGAAACGCTTCCTGTGTAAAATACTCCTTATTCGAGACACAAAATGAATATGGCTACGTAAATAGTTAACAAGCATTATGCAGTACTCACGATATAAACAATAGAAGAGCAATATCATGAATATTTAAATCTAGGCGACTAATCATTTACTTATATATTCTAAAAATTAATAATACTTCGATGTCTAGATTACCAAATGAAGAGATAATACTATTTGTAACCGCACTTGCAGTATTTTCTTCGGTTTTCATGAGTCGTAGATATTAGCAGTACTTTTACGGTTTAAACTCGCGGTTTCCCGCGGTTTCACGGTCGGCCGTGATCACGAAAACTAAAATATTCGAAAAGTCCGAAACAATATAATGACAATAAAAAACGCGAGATTAAACTGTAAAAGTATTAAGTTTTAATTAGACACTTCTCTTGTTTTAATGTTTTACAATCAAATTTTTATTACATTTTATTTAATTTTTTTTTTTAGGGTAATAAAAGATATTCTGTTTTAGGATAAATAGATTTGATTGAAATCGCAAACTAAATACATTTTAAGTCAGTTTATTTTTTAAGCTTGGTATAGACAAGGATGTATTATATTTTATATAGGTACTGAAGTGACTTGGACGAAAAAAAGTAGCTGTCATTATTTGGAAAGACAGTTAAGATCAATAAAAGTGTTTCATGAGTAACAAAGGTCAGATTAAAGATACTTAAATTGTTATTAATGTACGTATCTTTGTAAAATACGAAAGCGAGGAAGGTTGAGATTTATATATCGACTACTATACGGGAGGTGGACACCGTACTAAGGTGGACGTTGCGTACTGATTAAAATGCTTGTCTATGGGCACTCGGTCATCGTACAGTGTAGGAGCCTGAAGAATAATCCCAGCCGTACCAACCAGTACGGCCAGTGTAAAGATCCACAGAAACAGTCTGTCAAGAACCATCGCCACGTACTTCCAATCTTCTTTCACCTAAAATTCCATCCGCATACAAAGCAACGTGTTAGTACAGATTATTAACTGCTATTTTTCTCTATTGTAATTTCCCAACGCCTTTTTGAAAAAGTTATTAGAAAAAAGTACTGCTTTATTATGTAATCTATCAAGTAATAATTTTATTTATTAGAGAATAATTCCGTTTCATTATAATACATATTATTTAATTTCGATTCCCATAAATCTTGATTATGAATAAGAAAAAAGAGAACAGAAATAAGCAGAATTTATAAGACAAGTCCGTAAAAAATTGTGGCATCTGTTGGAAGGTGCTTATTACTCTCCTCTCTCCTCTTAGGTTTTAGGTCCTTGTCGAATCCCATTTATATCACAACGCGAATGGCACTCACCGCCAGTTTCACCTAGCTTGGGATATGGGGTCGTAGTCTCAATCATATTAAACTTTTCAGCAAAAAGAAATAGGATGGTAACACTCACTCCGTTGACTCGCTGCGGACTTACCATTGGTAATTAGTACATTTACGTTTTTTCCGGTTTTGATTGTTTGTACTCGATGTTATTCTTTCATCACGAAAGCCATTCATGAAAACGTGTTAAGTGCGTTAATATTACTTTAGAAGAATAGTGTTTTGCCTGTGAAATTTGAATATCAGCATAGTCGCATTGTTTGACGCGAATAAGTACAGCGGGTCTATTGTCCTTTAGGCTACGACGTTTTGGGTGTGATGTTTATTGCATATAACAAACCTTAGTAGAATCTTCAAGCATTTTCGTGTGCTCAGCGATGAATCGAACACAGAAACAGGTTCGATGGACCTCCGGCGGACAAGCGGAGTGACTGAAGCCGGGCGGCGGATCCGGCACCGGACTCAGAATCTCCTCCTCCACGCTCACCCCGGCCAATCCGCCGCCCACCACCTCGCTCGAGCCGTGTAGCATGCAACTACCGCCCAGTCTATTGCTGTCAATTCTAGAAACGTAAGAACCATCACTAATTTAGCGGTAGGCAGCGGCTCGGCTCTGCCCCTGGCATTGCTGCAGTCCATTGGCGACGGTAACGATTCACCATCAGGCAATAAAAAAATTCTCACGTACTTTTTTTTATTGCTTAGATGGGTGGACGAGCTCACAGCCCACGTGGTGTTAAGTAGTTACTTGAGCCCATAGACATCTACAACGTAAATGCGCCACACACCTTGAGACATAAGTTCTAAGGTCTCAGGTATAGTTACAACGGCTGCCCCACCCTTCAAACCGAAACGCATTACTGCTTCATGGCAGAAGTAGGCAGGGTGGTGGTACCTACCCGCGCGGTACGTTACAGAACATAATCCACTAACACAGTAATATGCTGATATTTAATCTAATCTAATGCAGGCTACTCGTGGTAGGAGCTATTTTGAGTCTGCACGAGTAGGTACCACCATCCTGCCATTTCTGTCCTGAAGCAGTAATGCGTTGCGGTTTGAAGGGCGGGCAGTCGTAACTATACTGAGACCTTAGAACTCATACCTCAATTACTGTTAATTTATTATGTGTAATCAAGTATATTGGAATATAAATCATATGGTGATTTCATATTGTGTTTAACGGTATATATCTATTTATTCTATGTATGTATAATATTTTCTTTAATAATGTGTAGTGTAGTTCTTTTTTTTTTTAAGGGGGTGTATGTAGTGTAGTTAATATGCAATATGCAACATTGCATATTATATGCACAACAAATGTGTTGTTAATAGTACACCGCAACATACCTGCTGTATCTTTCTCTGTCCAGAATTTCGGGTAATTAAACGGTTGTCTGGAAGAGATCGCTTTTAGCGATAAGACCGCCTATTGTACAAACGTATCTGCTTGTTGGCTGATGTTAATTGTGTTTTGGTGTGCAATAAAGTATGTTCTCACACACTCTCTCTCTCTCAAAGGTGAGTGGCGGCATTTACGTGGTATATGTCTATGGGCTCCGATAACCACTTAACACCAGGTGAGCCGTGAGCTTGTCCACCTATCTATGCAATACAAAAATAAAATAAAAAAGGCTACGATTACCCTGAATTTAAATATGTGGTGTGTGTCAAGTCTTCTTTGCTAGGCGTTCGAGTGAGCGGTCGAGGGGGGGGCGCGGCAGGAGGGGGCCAGGCGCCCGGCGCACAGCAGTCGTCGTCCGCTGCCGCCAGACGATACGGATACAAGGGTCTGGCTGTCCCACCGCAGCGTACCACAACACCGCATGCAGTGTAACGAGATCTAAAAACAATACTAGTTCAATTAGTTTAGCCCATGATACAAAGTGATTGGTTAAGTAGTATTAACGTGTTGTTATTACATTGAAACGGTAGGCAGCGGCTTGACTCTGCCTCTGGCATTATTAAGGTCCATGGGCGACGGTAACCACTCACCATCAGGTGGGCCGTATGCTCGTCTGCCTACACGGGCAATAAAAAAAAACAAAAAACAAAACAAACTAGATCTAATTGTTCTTATATATTTTTTGCAAATAGCGTTAAACGTCCAAAAAAAGATTTCAATTAAATCTTTAGACAATTTGTATTACTTTGATATTAAAGAGAAATTTATAGTCTTATCGGATTTTCATTTCCTTAGTCAATTTCTGTAGGTATCCTTCTACTACACAGCATTATATCACTTACATGGACAGTCAGCTTCAAATAGGATCAAAGGAGATAAAACATATTGATTTTATTAATGGGCATATCGGGTTTTGTACTATAATTACTCATAAAGTTCTAGATCGAGTTTGTACTTTTAATACTTTTACTGTCCACTTGATTAGCGTAAATTTTTTTTAAAGGACATAATTTCGATTATCAGGCAATAAACAAAACTTAAGTATCAATCATCCTTTTAAAGCGCACTCAATTTATGCAGCTTAGAATTTAGTAATTGTGCAGATGAGGCAGCCGTTCTAATGGTTCGGTGGTTAATTTACATAATGCCCGATAAAATAGCGCGGCCATGTTGGCCTAATATACCTCTAGTCGGCTAATAGACAATCAGTCCCTCAATGAACAACGCCGAGTCCGCCGCTGTCCAAACCGATCATCCACTGAATGCCGTGCCTAGTAAATCGAAACTACTTTATCCACTGAATATTACGTCTTTTGTGTTGACGATATTACGTTTATTACGTAGTAATTGTGAAATTTTATTGTTTTTTTCTTCATATATTAGACTAGCGACCCGCCCTCGCTTCGCTTCGGAAACATTAAAACACAGATGAAACAAAAAAAAAAAAAACAAAAAAAAAGTAGCCTATGTTCATCAGGGACAATGTCGGCTTCTAATGGAAAAAGAATTTTTCAAATCGGTCCAGTAGTTTCGGAGCCTATTCGAAACAAACAAACAAACAAATCTTTCCTCTTTATAATCATATATATATATATATATATATTACATATATTAGATTATTTATATTATGATTACATTTAATTGTTGTTTATGTATCTTGTTAAATTAATACATCTAGTACTTAGTGTTCGATTTTATAACAGTCAATAATCGTGATGATTAATTTTGCGCGTATTATTGTTTTAAATTTTTACTTTTAAAGTTAGTATCTGCTTAATTCTAATAAACCCTCCAACAATGAAAAGTCAAGATTTCAGTTTGATGTTTCTCAATTAAAGTAAGGTTTTTCTTAAGTGACGTTTAAACTTATAATAATAGCACTAATTAAGCGTTTTGAAAAGAATAATAAAACTTCGTAGTTTACGAAAGATAAAATTTAAAGAATCTAATATGTACAACTTCAGCTGAGTGGCCACAAAATCAAATTGTATCAATAAGACAAGTGTTAGTTTAACTGTGTCTCACCTCGTTGTATCGAACTTGTACTGGGGTCGTTTCATAAAGAGCAATCGGGGCAGAATGTGAATGAATACTCTTTTCACCCAAGGCGCCATTCGATGTGTCTGCGGTGACCTGAAGTGGACGTTGAGAACGACCACCGTTACGCATATACTAAAAAGAAATATTATTCTGAATGATTGACACAATACGTAGCCTAAAAAACGAAATGTGTATTTAATGTGGAAGTGTGCATTTTTTATTTTTATTGCTTAGATGGGTGGACGAGCTCACAGCCCACCTGGTGTTAAGTGGTTACTGGAGCCCATAGACATCCACAACGTAAATGCGCCACCCACCTTGAGAATAAGTTCTAAGGTCTCAAGTACAGTCACAACGGCTGCCCCACCCTTCAAACTGAAACGCATTACTGCTGCACGGTATAAATAGGCAGAGTGGTGGTACCCACCCGCGCGGACTCACAAGAGGTCCTACCACCAGTAATGCATTGTTCATTTAAATTTGTAACACCAATTTTCTAGCAAACTTATTTATAATCTTGATACATAATAATATACATACATACATGAATTGAATTACTATTACCAAATTTAAACCTAATAGACAGATAATCTAAACACGAAGCCTGTTGAGAATTAGTTTCCTACCGAATAGTTTAAATACCAAACTATTGTAGAACAGTTTAGGTGACTTCGCGCCTTTCTGGCAGATTATCGTTAATTAAGTTACAAGTTGGACTTAATCACAGAAGCTGCGGTTAGTAATTAAGCTATCTCGAATAATGATTATTAAGTTTTAATGTAAGCGAAGTCAGTGATATTTTAAGTTAAAAACAGCTACGTTAGGTTACTTTTTAATCGATATTATGTTAATAAAGTCGTAATATATTAAACAAGAGTACTATGCACTTTCCTCCTTTATTTAAAAAAAAAATTAAATGAATAAGAATTTCATAAATCTTAGATATTGAGAATCATCACATAATTGATTCACGGAGCTTATCAAACGAATGAAAAACCCTTTATCGTTAGTTCCAGGCTTCCATTAATTTATCGTAAGTTAATACAGTGTCATCGGATAACTGATCTGAGTGATAATGGGTTTCATTAAGAAACTTTAAGAGCTGATTTCCAATACAATAACAACCAAGTATATAAGTCTGCAGCTTGTCAAAATGCTCTGGTCAGTGGTACCTAAAATTTTATAAGATTTAACAACATCGAAATACTCGCTAAAGAAAACAAATTAATTATTCGTATGATGCGCGAAACCATTGAGATAAAAGAACACCCTAACTTATCATATAAATGAAAACACAAATAAAAAAAAACAGTGTGAAGTGAAACGTAAAAGTCCAGATTTTAATTATAGAAAAACAGATAGCAATTAGTTTTCAAATATTCAAATGTCGTATTCAATGTATTATATAATATCACCGTAGTCGTTCGTGACAACGAAAACTATAAGGTATTGGAAACGTCGAAAAATAATTAAATTGCAATAAAAAACGCGAGACTACAACGTAAAAGTAGTTTTAATTACGTATTCTACTTTGTTATAACGTAGAATAAAAAAGCCTTTGTGTCGAAGTGTAAGCTGGAATGTAATTTATTACAACTAAAGCATGCAACCTTGTTTCAGAACAAACTTTTAATTTATATGATAATGGGACGGGTCCTGTATCGCGGCACAGCGTGAGGAAATATTTTAATCCTAAAGGTAAAACCTTATTATAATTACACTTTTTTATATTACTTTATTTAATTTCTACATTATTATATTTTTATCATTGAAAAATTAATTAACTTACCTGATCGAAACTAGGATCATAGCGAAAATTAGGTATTTTCCGAGCAGCGGTACAACCAGGGAGGTGGGAGGAATAATTTCGACAACCAAGAGGAAAAACACGTGTAGACTGATGAGTATCGATATAGACAATGTTACCTGGCAAAAAAATGAACTGATTACACGGATACGGAAATGATTTATTATACAACATAATTAATAATTGCATTCGATACGTTCAATTAGTATTTACAAATTTATTTTTGTTTTTTGAAACGAAGTTCCTTAAGGGACGACGCGGTGGGGTACCCCAACAGGGAGAAAACGTCCGTAACGTCAGATTTTTATTAGTAATGCACACAGTGTACGACTTAACTTTGTAATAACGTACAAAAAATAACATATTTTAATTATATATTTTTTATAAATCATTGTGAATAAAATAAAGTTGATAACTTTGTAAAGTAGATTTTTTTATCAATAAAAAAAACAATCAAAAATGTATACCCGAATAATTATTTTCTTTATACTCAATTAGAACTTAAAATTAATATTTTAATAATAAGGAACTTCGTTCCTATCCGGTGTCCCACGTCACCACACATCTTTTTTCTTCTATGCACCAATCAAATCGTATTGAACATTCTAGTCACTCATAGTTAATATTAGTGATATTACATTTTCTGTGTTAAAGTCATAGCATATAATTGTCGGCGAACATTTTACGAATCGTCGTAACGTGGGCAGACAGTCAACCGATGGACCGATGACATGGTCAAAGTGGGATGACCTGGTGAAAGTGGTTGGTAAAGACTGGATGCAAAAGGCAAGAGACCCAAAAGAATGGGGTGCATTCGAAGACACCTACAATCAGCATTGGGTGGAAACGGGTTGAAGAAGAAGATTGAAGATTTTACGAATCTTATAAGCAATTTTTTTTTTTACCATTCAAATCATGTGTATTTTTACAGTATAAAGCAAATAAATGCTTATGGACGAATTAAAAAAACATCACATTTGCGGTTTTTCATGGAATTTTGTAACTCGAGGTTAAAAGCGTAAACTAGTAATTTTTTTTCTTTCAAATATCATCTATATATTAATTAAGGAGTATTGTGTAGTTTTTGATATTTTTTTGAAAATCCACAGCTCCAAAATAATTTTTAGATTAAATATTTAAAGAAATGATTCCCTAAAAACGGTAGCGCAAATAGAGTATAATAAATTTAGTTCTAACTTTAATTCTAAATAAATAATAAATATATTTCAATATGAAATCATTGAAATCCCACGCTAAGTTTCTATAGGCTCCTAAATTATTTTACATTTGGCAAAAGGGGGTCATTTTCCAGAAATTATTTTAATGTAAATTTTTTAAGTTTTTTTTTATTATTCACTGCATTTAGTTAATTGAAAAATGTAAACTTAAAAAGTACTATGAATAGCATCATCGTAACCTCATTTTCATAAAAGCTTTATCATTTAGTTTTACTTAAACTGAGTAGCAGCATCTATTTGTCGACAAGAAGATCGATAGTCAGATAGTCTTTTTTCGAAGTAAGGACATGTTAGTGTGATCAACTGATTATTTTCAGAGTTGAGAGCTCACGGGCTACTAATATTAAAATACTATTCGAACCCACAAACAGATACAGTAATCAACGTACGAATATCATCTTTAGACTTTATTATTAAAGACTAGCTTAATCTTTTTTACGTAACCTACCTTGAGACTGCGATATTATTTAACGAACGCCTTGCGAATTCTCATTTTAATTTAATCTTGTAAGATAATATTTAAGTAAGGCTTACCTTTTCCCCGCTGTCGGACGGCAGATAAAATGTTAGAACGGTTAGAAAAGATATTCCCATACAAGGAATTATAATGTTGACGGTGTAAAACAATGTTTTCCGGCGCATCGTGATGTTGAAAGTGATGTCCAAGTACGGCTCATCGCAACACGTGTAAAATTTTTCGTTCCTGCACCAAGAAATACTTTAGCTTAACCAAACTTGTATGTGAATTTTTTTGAATTTAAATGTATTAATGTAGGTTTTAAAACGTACAAGTTGCGCAGATGAATTCACGGCCTGCGTGGAGTAATCTGGTAACCGGAGCCAAAAGGTAACAAAACGTAAATACCAGTACCAACCTTGAGACACATGAAGTTTGACAAATAAAAAATTTTACTATGTAGTTAATAAAACAGGTTTAAACAGCAAACAGAAATAACAATTCGAAGGGAGAAAGGCGACATTTCGCTTAATACGCTACATTTATTTTTGTAATTAAAGGTGGGTTTTATTCGGTATTAGCATCAACAGTTCGATGTTTTTAATTGAACTTCAATTAAGTTTACTCCATCCAAATAGCTGAAAAAAAATTTTTTATTATGATATTTTTTCCAAATTTCAAACTTTAAATGAGTCTCCTTGCTTAAACCAAATAGCTTTTCACCCCTAGAATTAATTAAATATATTTTTTACTGTTGAGACTACGGTAGCCAGCGACTTGGCTCTGCCCTGGCATGGCTGAAGTCTATGGGTGGCGGTAACCACTCACCATCAGGTGGGCCGTATGCTCGTCTGTCTACAAGGGCAATAAAAAAAAAGACTGGTCAAGATATTAGAGAGAAGTTATAAAATTTCTGTTTTGTCATCGGTCTTTGATGCGCGTGCAAAATTTTCATGTTAATCAGACGTCTTAACAATGAAGTTCAAAAATTGCATTACATAGAAACATACATACATACATACTAAGCTAATAAAAGCCTGTTAGAAACACGGTTGCCCTGCAAAAGAATTATAGCCATTGTAAGACGGTATGAAGTCTCAACTGAATTGTACAACAGTTGTCCCACCCTTCAATCCAGAACGCTTGACAACTTCGTGGCAGAAACAAAGTATTTAATCAGATTTACTTTTTTATAAACAAATTTTGAATCATTTCAAAATATGAATACATTTTACTATACATGATACAAATGTGAGTCGTAACTCCGAGTAATTTCACTAAGTGGCTCGTAAAACATCGTATGGAATATGAATATAATTTTATGTTTGAAGGGAGATACATCGTTTCATATGTGTATTGTATACTTTCTAATGTACGTAATGTAATGTTCACAATGAGAACAGGGGATATAATAGCTCTAATAGTAAATTGCTAGCATTAGGCAGCTAAAAATAGTTTTTTTCTGAAGTATCAGACGACAAAAAACCTAATCGACGTACGTGCCGGGTTTCGGAAATGAAATCAAACGTTGGTTTTGAAAACCTTTCGAATTCTTTACACGAAATCCTAAATGCACAGAAATTTGATTGTGCTAACTTTGTGTCAACTGCCTGTTATAAAACTACCTGTATGATACTGTATTTCTTTGATTTATTCATAAATTGTACAAGAATCTGCCAAATTTATGTAATTTGATAACAATGAGAGTAACTTTTTTATTAAGGAAAATTTACATATATCTATTTTGCAAAGGGAAAACGACGCTCAAGGCAATGCATTGCTGACTTTAGAGAGTTGCTTTAAACCGCTTTCAGGGACTTGCATATATTATTTGGTGGGAAAAGAGGGCCAGTTTTCGTATAAAATAATTGCGAATCGGCTTGCAATGATTAAGTATGTAATAATAAATTAATATAAACTGAGTCATTTCTTTAAACTTGGTTCGAAATGAAAGTTGAGATAAATTGACAATATTTGTAAAGTAGGGGATCCCTCGCAAAAAGCAGGGCTTGACGGGGAAAAGCGGATACACGTGGTAAAGTGATGTCGATGCGAGAGCGCTCTAGACTTAATGGCGGGACTCGAACCCAGGGTTGTAAAACAATTGAAAAAGGAAAACGACAAAGTGGATTCTTCTTATGAAATAGAGAATTTATAGGGTAGAGTGCTAGGAGTTTCTCGGTATCCGTAAGATCTGCTGACCTTAAGAAGACGGTTAGAGAACACCTAAAATTTAACGGAAGCACAGAATCAGTTTTTTTTTGTAATTCAAAACAGCAGTTCGCCGCATGAAATATTATACATATTATATTTCGTACACGGTCTCCGTAGTAGCCAAGTTTCTTTCAAACTATTCCTATATCGAGTTTCGTCAAAATCTGTTCAGCGATTTGGACGTGAAAACATTATTCGGGTTACTTCCGTATTAATTACGAGGAGTAGTTGCTATGTAACTACTGACATCTGACAGTTTAAAGTGAATTCTAAAAATATTTAAATTGTTTACACGACTTTCTTGCATCAGCCTATTTTAATGGAAATTTATTACTCATGTTTAGTTAGTTTTTTTCAATGTAAAATGTTCACCGGAACCTATTGTTTTAATCTATGTATTTAATTTTCTAAGCACGCAGATAACTTTAAATTTCGAAATACTTTTTGTCTGTTAATTTATTTGAATTGTTAAATATTAACTATGTAACTTCTATATATTATCACTTTCTTTCAACCTACTTCGTTTCAATTGGCTACGTTAGATTTACGTATATATACTTTTAAAATTGATGGAGGAGGATAGATAGCTTTCATATAGATAGACCTAATATTCTATTCTCCAGCTCATTTTATTGTCTTTTAAGTCGTCGTGGTCTAACAGATAAGACGTCCGGTGCATTCGTGTTGAGCGATGCACCGGTGTTCGAATCTTAGGCGGGTACCAATTTTTCTAATGAAATACGTACTCAACAAATGTTCACGATTGATTTCCACGGTGAAGGAATAACATCGTGTAATAAAAATGAAACCCGAAAAATTATAATTTTTGTAATTACAAGTGGTAGGACCTCTTGTGAGCCAGCGCGGGTCGGTACCACCACCCTGCCTATTTCTGCCGTGAAGCAGTAATGCGTTTCGGTTTGAAGCGTGGGGCAGCCGTTGTAACTATACTTGAGACCTTAGAACTTATATCTCAAGGTGGGTGGCGCGTTTACGATGTAGATGTCTATGGGCTCCAGTAACCACTTAACACCAGGTGGGCTCTGAGCTCGTCCACCCATCTAAGCAATAAAAAAAAAAGCATTGCCTACCAAGAACTATCTTTCGCCACGAACCGCATCACCATGGAATAAAAATACGCAGACGATGTCTCATCAAATCAAATTGCGAGACAAACAAATCTATGTTATTCAGTATTCGCATGAAAACTTTCTTTTCCTTTTCTGAGAAACGGCTGTAAGCTGACTAAATTCAATCAAATTGTTTTCTTGTAATCTTCAACGTCGCAGGCGAGAACCATCGAAATATTCATCTTTTTGGAGTTTATTGGAGTTTACTCCTTTAGAATCGATTTACATATATAGGCCCGGGGTATGAAAATTATGGGGACCAAAATCGTACTAGCATGTCACACGAAATGCGTTATGCGCCTGATTGGCTCCTGATTGCGTGATGCGTGCGCGCGCCAATCAAAATCGTACTAGCATGTCACACGAAATGCGTTATGCGCCTGATTGGCTCCTGATTGCGTGATGCNCAAAATCGTACTAGCATGTCACACGAAATGCGTTATGCGCCTGATTGGCTCCTGATTGCGTGATGCGTGCGCGCGCCAATCAGGAGCCAACGCGCGGCCGCGTTATTGCAGGTGACGCCGGGCTGCTGCGCCGGCAGTCCGCCACAAAGCCTCGTACTGATCGCGCGTTTCTCTCATTATTGTATTTTTGTATTTTCATATATTTGTTAGTCGTTTGTTTTGTGTCTCGTTAATTTGTTAATAATCTGTAGTGTATCGTGTTGTCGTAATATAGAACTATTTCTCGTATTGTTTCGTTTAATTTTTTATATCCAGTAAACTCCAGTCGTGCGTCGGAGCGGACACACACACTTTTTTTACTAATTGCTGCTAGTAGGACTATTAACACTGATTTGTTATGTATACGTGACCTACCTAACTATATTGTTGGTACATTTAAGTATTTTGTACTATTCGTATTTGACACATAAATTGGCAACCTTACTTTCAACTGTTAAGTGATCAAGGACAAAATGAAAAAGCTTACGACGCGCTTTAACTATGTTACGGTTGAAACTGATCTTGAAAACATTTGACAGGCGTCTCAAGCTTTATCTCGAAAAATACGTCACGCCTTAAACCACTCTAAAGTCTAAAGTAAGAAGCAATGTAACGGACCTTTATCGATCTGTTTGCCGAAGGGTGAGTGAGTATCGTTAGTAGTATATACTACGGTGATACGTTTTTTTTTCTTATTCAATATTACATAAATACTAATATTTGACTAGTTCCGAAAAAATACTAAAGTAAAAAACTTTTCTCTTGGAGCAGATATTGAAATCCATTAAAATTTATAGTTAATTCCATTAGTTTTTTTTTAAATATATTTTAGGTCAAATTAGCAGTAGTCAGAGCATTAAGGTTGGCAACGATCGTAGTTATTTCTTAGAACCTAAATTCAGTCAGCGAAATCTATAGTTTTACATTTCTGTAGATTTTTTTCCCTACCTAATCTATGCTAGTCTATCTGCACACGATATACTGACCTCACTTCTTACTTTCTTGTATTTGGGTCATCGGGCGGATTAACGGGAGAACTAATTTAGAATAACGATGATAACTATGGATGGAACCCCAAGAAGCATAAATTGTCTTCTGATATGGGCCGTGATATAGCCCCTTATTATAGATATTATGTAGAAGGGGATTATTCTTTGACTTCGTCGTTACGTGTATTTCAAAATCCGTAGTGGCAACTCTAGCACATACATATTCCTAATTACATTTTTTGGACATAGTCATAATAACAATTACGTAAGTATAAATTGATATAAATTAACAATTTATTATTATGTGCCAAGTCCCGAAACGAAACAACGATGTTGTTGTATATGTGACTAGCGACCCGCTCTCGCTTCGCTTCGGAAACATTAGATTTTATTATTGATGGGCGAGTCCCGCCATGTTACGCGCGGTACGACAATAACTGCGGGTAACGCCGCGGGGCGAAGCTAGTCTAAAAAAATCATCAGCTACCTATTAGTGAAAGTCTCATCAAAATCGGTCCAACCGTTCCAGAGATTAGCCGGAACAAACAGACAGACAGACAAAAATTGTAAAAAATGTTATTTTGGTGTATGTAATGTAAATATATTCATATGCATGTAGTAAAAAGCGGTTATTTCAATATTACAAACAGACACTCTAATTTTATTTATATGTATAGATTAATTTGTGCTGACCTGACTGCTGGTACTTCCAAAATATCCCATTCAACTGACATGTAGAACTCGGAGAGGTCGACCCCGACTGAAACAACGTTGCTGCCAGCTTGTTCATCCATGTGCCGCAGGTCAACCTGCCACATACCAGCTTCAAATATTATTAACTGTACAAATAAATTAAACGTAAATACTTAATTTGAATAAATCACTTGTAATTTTAACCAGTAATTATTATAAACTCTGCTGATCTAATCGTTTGTAATGGGACTCAAATATTGATGCCTACTCATGAAATTGCGATTCAATATTAAAATAGTAAAAGGATAATTTAATCAGTCGTGGTAACATTGTTAGTGAACTTCTTCCGTGTTATGGGTGTTTGATTGATTCATTCGATAAAAAGAATCTGGCCGCGAATGTCGCTGAATCATTTCATTGATAGTTCTGACCGACTCATCGGAATTATTTTCTTTTTCTAGCATGAAATTTTCTGAACCGTTAATTCCGATGGGTTTTAGTCAAAAAAATTATATATATTTCCAAATTTAACGAAAATGTTCTATCCTCGAACTTAGACAGTTCATAGTGGCCATCTTAGTAAGCCGATAGCTGTCAAATTTGGCACGAACACATATTTAGTCATGTCATTTCACCAGGGAACGCTACACGTTTGTCTTTTGTGGCCTAGGATAGGTGACATGGATCTCACAAACATGTGGTTCCAATAGGACGGCGCTTCTTGCCATGCACGGGAACCATAAAATTTATTAGATGAGAAATTCGAAGGCTTCGTCATCTCGCGTGGTGGCGATATCAACTGGCCACCGAGATCGTGTAACTTAACACCGCTCGACTACTTTCTGTGGGGCTACGTCAAATCTAAGCCATAGCTCGCGCTCTTCGTGAAATTACTTAATATATACATAATGTCATCGAATACCCTTTAAAACAAAATAGAAATTGTGGCAATGATACTTAAATAGGTATTTTTATGTTATTTTTAAGTTCGAGTGCTCTTAATGAAAAACCCTTATATTGAAGGCTGCCGGTAACGTTATTAGTTATCTTTATCAATAAAAATTAGAAATTTTAATGTTTCAAGAACAGAACGATGTCAAACAAAATAATTGGGAATTATTAAACAAATATCAGGCCGTTAAATATATGTATTAAAAATGTATCAGTTTTGGTTAACAGTTGCCAGTATTGAAAATCGACAATTTTACAAGTAAGCACCCCATATTATTAACTTTCTAATTTAATGTTCGCCATTTCGCTACAAATAATTTTAGGATAATAATACTTTCCTTTACCTTAAAATAATTAATAATATAATTATTAAACACAAACAACAGACAACACATACTGTAATAAAATTCAAAATTGTTTTTAGTTAAAAGTATAAAGATTAATTTTATCATTTTGCTTTTAGGTTATGCAGTTTTATCTACGTAGTCTGCGTTTTTACGTATCACTAAAATGACTCGGCCAGTTTTAATCATTATACTTAAAGATATTTTAAAAAAGTAATACATACATTTGTAGCTGATTTTGTAAATTAATAAGTTGGCACTTATCATATTTAGCTCAACGTAAAGCACTAGACGATTTATATTTATTCAATTAGGTATTAAACGATTTGTTAAAAAGGATTGTTACAATTGATACATGCATCCTGTCACACGATGTGTCGAAGAATCTCACACACAAAAATGGATGCTTATTGTTAGATATTTGATACCTCATATAAGTATTGTCAACATCGAACGCAATGACGATTTCATTATTAAGTATCTACTACTGTGGAAAATACTCTATCTCACAATGTCTTCAAATACCGACCTTGAATTTAATTTCATAAATGTACACTATGGACTAACCATGCCACAAAGTGTGCCAAGTTGGAATGTACCTAAGTTAAAACCAAACCAAGACTTTTAAACGACATGGTGACATAACCATCTTCAATGACGAAATACCACAACAGAATGACATGCGAAGAAGAAACAACGCTTTAACACAGATCAATTGATTCACGTAATTCAACTGATTATTGTAAGGAATGATATCCTCAGTATCAAAAATATGACGGAATCTCAACGAATCTAGCTATTACTTCGCGTATGGTTTAAGCCATAACATCGAAATAATTCTATCATCGGCAAACGATTCGCCAAGTATCTGATACTGAGGACCAAAACACCAGCTCCGCCGCGCCTATGTGTGTCGCGCGGACGCAGTGTCCAATGAGCTACGACCCTCAAGCTATTTATTATTTTATTTTATTTAGTTATTATTTATAAGTATTCCATGCGTTGCATAGACGAACAACAGTCATGACATGAGGCAGTAGCTACGTTCGAGTGCATGCAATGAGCGTCACGTCGACAGTGTTCAAGGACGTTGCGTCGACGAAACCTTCTACTACTCCCAGTATTGAGACTTATATAGAATTCTGTGCAACGTTTTCGTTGTGTCGTCAAGAATACTTAGGTTTTTTTAAAAATGAATCATGCAATGGTCTGAAAGCGACACCGTTACAGCCGAAGGAAGTCGCTAAGGGAAAGGTATAAAATATGTATTATGATGACTTTACGCTCGAAAGTGTAGTGAGCAACAAGTGTATACATATCGTAGAGAATATTTCTTCTGTAATCAATTCCACGTGCTGTGCTTTACTTGTTCGCGTGTAAGGCATCATGTGAAGCTGTGTAAGAGCCACGGCCGCATTCTGCGGAGAGTGTCCGTTGTGATCGGGAATGCAAGTGGACCGGGACAAGCTAGTATCATGCATTGAATTGAGTTAGACATCGAATAAAGGAAAGCATGCAACAAGCTCTGTGTGCCGTGTGTGGGAAGTGTATGTGTATGTGTGTGTGGCGCGAGCGGAGCCAGCTATGGATTGGGGGTGAGAGATCCGACGATACCTCTCCACGCCTTTTAGGAAATGTTACTATCATCGAAAATAGATCCTTATTTTTTTTAATATTACTTAATTAATTGACATTTACTTTAAAAAGTCGTTCAGCGCGGAAAGGTCCTGTCGGAAGGGATCGTTGGGTGGGTTTGGAATAAGTGAAAGTTTGCATCCCATATCACCTGGCAACATTAATTTTATACCTTTCCGTGTCGAGCGAGGAAGGCCGAACGAACTAATTGGAATCGGCCCAGGATATTCTGGAGCATTCGTGGTCACGTACGTCGACATACCGCTACTCCACATACTTTAAACATCATCATCACATTGAAAAGTAGTTGCAACATGTCAGAACTAAGGAGCGAGTCATAGGCGGGGAGCGGGTACACACGAAAAGCACTCGCTCTTCGCCTCTACACTGCACCATCGTACAGTCATAATGTAAAAGTGAATTCAACATACCACATGGACAGAAAAGTAATACAATTACACCACGATTTACGTTCGAGCCAACAAGCTATTGCATGGACACCGGCCGGAACAGCGGGCCCTACTGCTACAGCCCGCGCGCGGCCCCAAGCAGCGTACAGCAGGGCGTCACCTTGAAGCCGTCATAAGTCCAGCTGCCTAACTTAAGCACACAGGTTTGCACGTCGTAAGGAAAGAACTCGACGTCGATCGAGCAGGAGGACTTATAGACGGCGGGCGGCTGCCACACCACCAAGCCGTTGTAGTAGACGGTAGCCTTCGTCATCAGCGTCACTTCGTAGTTGCCGTCGGCGCTGCGGACAAACAGAGCGGTCAGCGAGAGCGGCGAGAGAGCCTCGCTAATTACCTTGAATCCGTCGTACGTCCAGCTACCAAATTTAAGAACGCACGTTTGCTCGTCGAAAGGAAAATATTCCACATCTATTTCACAGGAAGACTTGTATATAGCAGGCGGCTTCCATTCCACAAGCCCCTGGTGGTAGATAGTCGCCTTGGTCGCCAATGTTACTTCGAAGTTGCCGTCAGCACTGCAATGTTAACGCAGGTTTACATGCCGATTCGCGGCTCTCGGTCCGTTTTGATATGCTGCGTTTCATGCTGTAAGTGTAACTGACTAACAAAAATAAAATATTTTATTAAAATAAATGAACTTTAGTGTTATGCTCGTGTACTAAAATCGATAGTAGTCATGTAAGGCCGACCGCTAATGATATGGGAAGAGGTACGGAGAAAAAAGACAATTCACCCAATACTTGTGCATTAAAACTAGAGCAGTTCTTGCAGTTGAATTTTGTTAAGAGCAAATCTTTTAACTGGTTAACATATGTTTTTGATGAAAATTCAGGTAATAAGGAAAAAAAGTAATGCATTAAGTTAGGCATCTAATATGAAATTGTATGAACCATTACTGTTTTTATTTTAATACAATCAGAGAAATATGTTTAAAGTACACATTTAAAAGAACATCAATAATAATAACTTTAAGAAGAAGAGTTCAGTAAAAAGGAGCACATTAGGTGGACGACCGGGCAGACTTGTCGAGCGAAAAAGAAATAAGTAACGATTTCTGTAACGATAATTTATCAACGTCCGGTGTTTGTAGGTGTCACGGCAGTGGAAAATGAATCGCCCCGTAGAATTATTTCTTAGCATGCCGTCACTACTTTCACTTAAATCATTATTTTTCTTGAAAATATCTTCACTATAATTTAAAAAAAATAGCTTCGTTAATATCTTTAACAGAAATAGTTGGGCCGTTAGATCTGCTCACGTATTTCAGTTTAATATTACTAGATGATGACCGAGCTTTGCTAGCTTTTTTTTTGATAACGCCATCTTGTTGTGTCTTTAAAGCGGTTAGTTGCCCTCAATTAAGAAAAATAGTATTATTATTCGCCAATAGATGTCGGAAAGAGTTGATTATTGAAAACACGAATAAAACATTTTCTGAAAATAAATCGTAGCTAGATCGATTTATCGCCCCCGAAATCCTGTATACTACATTTTATGAAAATCGTTGGAGCCGTTTCCGAGATTCAGATTATATATATACAAGAATTGCTCGTTTAAAGGTATAATAATAATATAACAAGATTAATAATTGAGCAACGTTTAAAAAAACCGCGTAAAAGCCAAAAGTGAATATTACTATTACTATGACGTATTATTGTATTATAATATATTACAATATGTGAACGGTACGATTGTTAAAAAAATCTGTCTTGGGTGAAAATTTCTGTGCCAGTACATTTTGGCAATTTTAGGACAATCGTTACTGCTACGCGGTAGTTCTGGGTGACAACATTCACATTATGATTTCTATTGGGTCCGGTGTATATGCATAGGTATGCTTACACAGTACGGTAGTTAAAAGTAATTTAAGTCCCAATCCATTTTTGAAAATTTCTTAATTATTTTATTTTATTTCATTCACATTCATAAATATACTAACATATTCTCCAGAATTTCTGAATTCACATATACTATAATACAAATACAACATACTGTGGGAGAGCGCATGTACCAAATGATAATTTTATAATTTGTTTAATAAAAGGTTCATACTTTTAAAGATCGTTAGGGTGTCATTGTTATTGAATTTAACAGTCCAATGTGGGAATAAGATGTCTGCCCCAGGTTTCTTCACGTACTCCGCTCGGGTGAAAATTGCTATTTATACAAAAAATATTTTGAGCCGTACCTTTCCGACTCTGCTGGAGAGTTTCTGTCTGCTTTTGGAGGGATTCCTAGTTAAAATTGAGGATGTAAAACAATTTTGCATTAAAACTTTTTTTGTGAACGTATCTACATATAAGTGGAAAATCCCGAAAGACATCTAAATATTGACGGGATCCGTATTAGAACATTTTGATATTGTACATACATATATATTGTGTCACCATAAAACTTCAAATGAGCCGATAGAAAATTCACTTAAACGTTGCATATTCGACTTTCATTTGATGATAACAAAGAAACAATGTCAATTAGCTGATTTAAAATTTAAAGAGCGCGAGGTTCTTCGGAGACATTTGTTTTTTGAATTTCCAATTTCAATCGACAACGACGCCTGAAAGTACCTAAATATGTGTGAGAGGAAGAAAGATACAGTACGGAAATTTAACAAATAATAAAACGTTATTTAAAGGTTTTTTTAGAAGTTAATAATGCGAATACTTCGTTCTGTTTATTAGGTTTTATATTTAGGTCTATTAAAATAGCGATATATTTTCAGTGGAATTGTACATTTTGGAGCCAATCAGCTAACTTTTAAACCAAAAAAAAAGCAACTTTGTTTCTTCGTTTTCTTACCGTTTTACTCCCAAAACAAGAAAAAATGGAAAACAAAGATTGAAAATTTTACTTCAGAAATTCATTCTTAAGTTAACTTAAGCTGATTATATTTATAATAACTTTGCCCAGCTATGATAACTCCAAACAATATGCGACATTAATTCAATAAATAGTTAATCATGTTATTTATTTTTCCTATTTTATATTGAATTAATAATAAGTATCATTACAGTAATCCCCCTATAACGCGGTAGATTGGTTCCAATCTACTGCGTTATAGGTGTACTGTATGTGGGAAATCCCCGCGTTATATGGGGAATGCCTGTGTTACACGGGGCATTGAAATTGCGTAATATGACAACGCGTTATAAGGTTACCGCGTTATAGGGGGACTACTGCATTATGAAATTTGATAAAAGCTAATTTGTATTCGTTGCTGGTAATTTCTGTATGTATACAAGACAAGAACTGTTCTAAGATCACAAATATTGCCAACAGCTGAAACTGGACCTTGTGATTGTGTAGTCACAGTTTCTAGAAACTCCATTAGGGATGCACTTAATTTTTTGTTATTGATATAAAAAGTCCAGTTGTTTTAAATATGTACACCTCCTTTAGATTTATGTTTCACTGTAAAGATATCGCTTCATAGTTTTATTAATTTATTTAGCGTTTTTCGTTTTATTTAAATGGCAACAACAATAAAACATTCAAATACAAAAAGTATGTATTGGTCTTACTTGTTGTAAAGGACGATGTCTGGTCTCCAAATGTGATCGGAGGGTACGTGAAGCATGTGGACGCCCCCGTACTCCTTAGGCTCCCAGCGCAGCTTGTAGTCATACCAGGACTGCTCTACCCACAGATTGGTGGTCATTATTTGGTTCTTCAAATTCTGTAAAATTAGTATCTGTTCAATAAAACTATAAAAAAAGTAGAAGAAAAGGTAAATCTTGGATCTCGATATAAGAAATCGCATTCAATCCTATTAAAATAATAGTAAAATAACTCTATACGCAGCTTTACGAAAAAATAAGCTTTGATGCCAGAGCTGGAACAACTTTTCGTAAAAGCTCAATTTATTCAAATTTTCTTTTTCCGACAATTTTTATTTATAATTGTTGTGGTGGGTTTCAGATGTTTGGCCGACTCTCAAAGAAACCATGATTTGTTTACCACTGACCACCCACTTCGTGGCAGTATTTAATAAAACGTAATAACTTTACCACCGGTTCATAATGTAGTTTTCCTACCTATTCGCTGGTAACCTAAGAGGCTATTCCAGCTACGCCCGGATGGGTAGGTGAGCTCACGGGCTCAACCTGAGAGAATCTTCTAACACTAGCCCTAGCAAGAGTTTGGCAAAATCTACCACCGGATCGGATTTGCATACCCCCGTCGCGGTCGGATAAGTGGAAGTATTGTGGGAAAGAGTGAGAGGTTAGGTTGGAAGCATGATAAATATACTGCCTTGAACGTGTGTTGGATGAATGGCATAGAATATCTGCACCCATAGGTGTCATCTGAGAGAATTAGGAAAATCACTGAAGTATACACAGCAGTATTTACATACGATCACCAGTTGACATTAACTTCTTGTAGAGCGTATTGTGAGCTTGCATTGAGGAGGGTCCACCATGCCTATTTATCCCGCAAAAGCTTTTGGTTTTTTTAAAGAAGGAAGGATTACTGGTTACGCGGAGCCCTTTTCAGTTTCGGACAGATGGGCGAGCACAGGCTCAACCAGGAGGGATGGGATTTACTAATAGCTGCCCGAGCGTTTTCGGAGGACATTTAACAACTACAAATGTTTCGCGATTCGCTACTACGGGAACAGACTCGCGACCTGCTGAGAAAATCCGGTGAGTAACTCTGTAAGCTAAATAGGTATAGGTTAATTGCACCTGGAATTCTTTTTCAACGAATACGGTTACCAGATGGATCCGTAACGACGTGTCTAGGACGACAACGGTGAGCTTTTCGATTTAGTGTATACGACACTCAGGCTCAGATCAGATCACTCAGATCTCAGGGTAAGTGGTGGCATTCATTTTGTAATTTATATAGGCTCTGGCAACCACTATTAATATAGTGCTTAAGTTATTTGTAATACTAACATAATATGAGATTTTGATGTCTTGAAATAAAAGTTTTTTTTTATTTTTGTTTTATTATTTTATTCCCGAAGATACCTTAAAGTCATCTACGCGACAACATAAATAAAAGTGGTGGTAATATGAGCTCGAGATCCTTTAGCTTTCCATTCATTGCTGAATAGATTATTTCGACTGTATTTTTACTGAAATTAGTCATTATAAGTAGAAAGTCGTTATTTTGTAAACATAATCGTTAATTTGTAAACAATTATGTAAAAGGAAAATGATTACAATTGCTTTTTATGCGTAGCGTAACTTCAATTTGTAAAAAAACAATACGCAAAATAATTTTCATAAAAATTTCATCATGACGCTGTTTTAAAAGTAAATTCGAGAGTTTGGACGAAATTCGTTCGTGAACGTTGTACCTTCACTTTTTGACGAAAAAAATGTACCTGATCCAACTTTCACCCAATTTTTCGAGTACCTCTCGTATTAATGTGTTAATAATAACACAAATAATGTTCGTTTTGATGTTTAAAGACAACTTAATAACTACATTGTCCGAATGAAAGTCTAAGGTGTCAAATCACATGATCTTGGGGATAGATTGAAATAAGTTCTTCGAAATCTAATAATTTCTAGTAGGAAATTTATGTGGAGATTTGTGAAGCTTCCAGTCGGATAGATTGCTGAGAAGACGATTTTTTTATTGCCCTTGTAAGCAGACGAGCGCACGGCCCACCTGATGGTGAGTGGTTACCACGGAATAGATTTTAACTATTCCGTGGTGGTTACCGTCGCCCACGGACTTCAGCAACGCCAGGGGCAGAGCCAAGCCGCTGCCTACCATAAAATGAATGCCATAAAATCACAAAGTCAAATGCAATAAGTTGCACAAATCTGTGACTGAATTTCAAATTAAATTTGAATAATTTTGGCAGCGTCTTTCAACGTTAATTTATTCGTAATTAATTTAAACTGAAAGTAAATTTAGAAGTCGTCGTGACCTAAAGGATAAGACTTCCGGTGCATTCGTATCTAGCGTACCAATTTTTCTAATGAATTACGTACTTAATAAATATTTATGATTGACTTCCACGGTGAAGGAATAACATCGTGTAATAAAAATCAAACCCGAAAAATTATAATTTGCGTAATTACTGGTGGTAAAACGTCTTGTGAGTCCGCACAGGTAGGTACCACCACCCTGTCTTCTTCTGCTGTGAAGCAGTAATGCGTTTCGGTTTGAAGGATAGAACAGCCGTTGTACTGTAACACTGAGACCTTAGAACTCATATCTCAAGGTAGGTGGTTTACATTGTAGACTTAACAACAGGTAGGCCGTAAGCTCGTCCACCTACCTAACCAATAAAAAAAAAGAAACTACGAATGCATTTCGCTCATTTGGAAATTCGCCTATCAATTAAATTATTTAACTATTTAAAACAAACTCTTTTGCTGTGCAATTTTATTAACGGTAAAAAATTACGACTTTTTTATTCTATTTTATTTTCATCAGCCTTTAGCGAGTACACAATAAATTCATATTTAAAAATTTATTCGACAAAGTCTGGCCTTATATTATAATATAGCAGCATCTTTAGATTTATATAATAAATTAGCATTCTCTCCGTATGTAATAATGAGATTTAGAATTATTACGTACCCAAGGTATATGAATTAGTTTGTTATTCAAACGGTTTACCTTTGAACAAACCTACTGTCCTTTGTAATCCGCTAATCTGTTTTCCTAGTAAATTTAATGAATTATTCAACAGCGAAATACTCTGCGTAGAAATGAATACGACACTGAAAACTCCTAGTATTTTTTTTTTATTGCTTAGACGGTTGGACGAGCTCACAGCCCACCTGGTGTTAAGTGGTTACTGGAGCCCATAGACATCTACAAGGTAAATGCGCCACCCACATTGAGATATAAGTTCTAAGTTCTCAGTATAGTTACAACGGCTACCCCACCCTTCAAACCGAAACGAATTACTGCTTTACGGAAGAAATAGGCAGGGTGGTGGTACCTACCCGTGCGGACTCACAAGAAGTCCTACCACTAGTAAATATATAATAATATATTTAAACAACGCCATTTTGTTCTCCCTCATGTCAGAAATAAAAGAAATGGGCAAATACCATTAGGCAGAAATTGAATCCAAAATTAAACATATTTCGTCTAAGCACTAACCATGTTTTAGAATATCTGGTAGATTTATATCAATTGTAAGCTTCTAAATTCTAATATACAAAATATAAACACAAAAGTTTTGGTGGGAGCTCCACTCCACTTCAAGTGAACTTCCGATTTTAGTTCACTAACTAAATCACCTCTTTAAAAAAATTGGCTAAGAATTTCCTCCTAAGAAACTACCTAACATTAGTTACTCTCTAAAACTAATAAATCTGGCTTACAGCGGAGATGAGATCATAACTCTCGGCTTTGGTTCACAATCGACTACAGTCACGTTTATAATTTAACTAGGGATGGTATATTTACAGTTTATACAATGCTTTCATAATAGACAATTGCGTCATCGTCATGACTTGATATAGATAATTAAGTCAATTTTTTATTGTGATTGAATCTTAGAGTACTTTCTCTACAGAATTTATTTAATTATTTGACAAATTTTATTAATGAATTTGATTTAATATATGCTCCCAGAAGATATGTATATTGGTCACATTAACTAAGATATACCGAAAAAGCTTACTTACAACACTAAATACTAAAACAGTCTATTTTATGCTTACGCTTCAAGTGACAAATATTTTTACGAAATATTTGAAGCGTTTAATATTTAGATTTTCCGAAAAATTCCGCTGTCATCGCCAATGTGTTCCCTAAGGAGATTAGGTTTCATCTTATCAAGACCGTTGGCTTTCGACGTTGGATGACGAAAATAATTTTGATAACTGGCTTATCTGATTTCCATTTTTGTGTAAAATGTTTGAACCGAAAAGCTGGGATACGGCTCACACAATCTTTAGTAAGTTTAATAAGACCTTCGATTCTAATTTTCTATCAAAATAATAATAGTTTTAAGATAATGTGTATATTTATACTTGAAAATGAAATTGGAAGTAAATCGTAGTATAAATTATCTAAAAATAATTTCAATCAGCTTAATTTGACTGACTCAGTAGTGCAGTAGTTAGCAGCCATGACAGTTCGTCAGGAACGTCGACCTCCATGACGACCTGGACTTAGAGTCCATCAGTAAGTATCTACAGTCGGCGTCGATGCGCCACTTCGATAAAGCGGCACGACACGAGAACCCTCTCATCGTGGTCGCCGGTAACTACATTCCCGATCCTGCGGACAGAATGGAAAGCAGTCGACGTCGCCCAAAACACGTCATCTCGGATCCTCCCGATCCACTAACGGTGCTTTTAGGTACTTCAAGCACCGGTCACCGTTCTCGTCGAACCCGTCGCTTGCGACGAAGGACTCGACGAGTAAATTAACTCTCAGACACAGCCCACTGAGTTTCTCGCCGGATCTTCTCAGTGGGTCGCGTTTCCGATCCGGTGGTAGATTCTGCGAAGGACGACTCTTGCTAGGGTCCGTGTTAGCAACGTCATCAGGTTTGAGCCCCGTGAGCTCACCTACTAGCCACGGTTACGCTGAAATAGCCCCTAGGGCTATCAGCTTAGGCAGGGGAAAAAAAAAAAAAAAAAAACGTGACAGTTGCGCTGAGGGTCGTGGGTTCGATTCCCACATCGGGCCAATATTCTTGTAATGAACAGGTTGGCTTACTCTTTGTCTGGGTGTTTGTTATCTATA